GAAAGGAGGACGACAATGCACTGAATGAAGGTGCTAGACGTTTAGTCTTTCTATACGTCTCAGAATAGGAACCTAAAGTTGGATCCACAAAAATTTCAAAATTTGAACCATGAGAGAAGCTAACTTCACAATTTTTCTCATAATGTTGGGTCTCTATACAAACATGAGATTATCCCCTAGTACAGTGATGCTTTAGCCACCTGATAGATACTTCCAGTAATCCATTCCAGTAAAGTACATACCAGATTTCAGCATAATATCACATTTAGAATGCTAGAGAATTCGTGTTGTTTTCTTACAGTGTTCAGAAACATAAGCAGTGGTGCATGATGAAGCATCAGGGGCTGTGACGCCAGCAGTAGCACCTATCTTTTTGTGACCTTCTCCACCCCCTTCCTGGGGTTAGTGCCTGGGCCTGGTATGCCAGTTATTCCCCTTTGTTACGGTACTGATGGCATTTATAATTTGCTTTATGTTGTTGCATGGTGTTATAGCACTTTCCCCTAAACAATACATTTTATCTTAACCTGGAAGAAAATGATTATCAATAAAAATGATACACTAAATGACAATACAAGGTTTTTCTGGATTTTTCTTAACGAAGCTGCAACAGCAACAGAATATAATATGTTCAACTATCATAACTATTTCTTTAGTGTGCTGGTTTCAGGATAAATTTGATCCAGGAATCACAGAGGAGTCCCTAGTCATTAGTCTACATGACCAAGCCAAGGTCAACGGTTCTGGGAAACTTTTGTTGCTGTTTGAAGATTGTGATATTCAGAGTTCTCATGAAACCAGATGACAGCCAAGGTGAAATAAGTGGAGTCTAGTTCACCTCATATCAGTGGCTGCATCTAGTATCATTTGTAAGATAGAACTGAAAAGGCAGAAAAATCACATATTTTGCCTGGGCTAATGCTTTGTCTTTCTATATTAATAGACCAAAAAGTGTTCTAAGCCTCAGTAAAATATTACTGTTCAACAACCACATGATTGTGCCAATGGTTTGATAACTGTCTTAAAAAGAGTACCATGTAGGTGCTAAAAGAGTACCATGTAGGTGCTAAAAAGAGTACCATGTAGCT